ATACTGGACTTCTCTTTCCTAATTTGCATTTGATGTTTGAAATGATGATTAGTAAGACTGTTTTTCTATGGACAATGTGTATGGCACATGTTCTTTTGTATTCAGTGTTTCTTACGTAAATAAAACAATGCACTGAAATTGAAGTTTCTTTCACTACTCTTATTTTTTCAGCAACTGGACTCACTTCAGTTAACAGGACCTCCTAAAACCAAAGATGAAGCAGAGAAAGACAGGTGGGATAACATTAAAACCCTCGGTATTTTCATCATGAAGCTATTAATATCTGGTAGTGGCTAATTTGCATAGCAAGTTCAGGAGAAATGTCTCTGAAGACTTCTTTAATTTAAATAATCTGTGTATAAATGTGAGCTGAGTATCGGCAGGTGTTAATGCGTTCCTGCAGGAGAGATGGCTATGTGTGGGCTTATTTTGATAACCCACACGACTGCAGTCATTGTTTCAATTCAACTACTCGTACGTGTGATAGATCATGCATAGACAAGACATGCTGTAGTTTCTAGAAGACCAGTTGTTAAATGGCTGGCAACTCTTGTAAAATGAAAACATGAATTTAATGTTCATAGTATAATATGTGTAAGCTGTGGAAATTTGCAAAGAGGAACAGTAAGTAGAAAAAGATTTTTAGGTGACTGTTGTCTTGATTTTCCTGGTTTTGAGTAATCGATTTTAAGGAAATTTATTCTTACTACTAACTAGTGGGCTTAATAAAACAGTCTGTGCATATACATTCTTGGCCTTGGAGATTATGGATGAAGAAGAATGCTTTTATTGATAGGTACAGATATTTTAGCATGTAGATTCATTCTTAACTGTTTGTAGTAGCTTACTGGTACCAGAAATACAATGATTTGGTAGCAAATCCTCTAAAGTACAAGGTACAATCATTAATATTTATTCATGTTTATACTACGTTTCCCTGAGGAGCACTTACAAAGCAAACTAAGTCAGCTTGTTATAAAGAAGGCTTGACTTTACATATGACTCAAAGACCGTACTATAATACTCATATTATATATACAAATGTAGGAAAATGGAAATTATTCAATAAGCCCAATATGTGGGTTTCAAAATGAATCAACACACCAAACTACATAATACCAATTTACACAAGACACTGTCATTGATTGATCAGTGCTTGAAACTGTGTATCTATCTTTTATTAGGCTACAAGTAGTCTTTACTTCAAAGTAGCAGCCACTAAGTGAAAGTTTAACAACTTGGTAGTTCTGTGGTTGATCTACTATAGTCACTGTGCTATGGCTTATCTAATTCTGTAACATGATATGATTGCTGAGAAACAGTGAACTCTGATTCTACTCTGATTTTAATTTGCTGATTTTCATTCATCAGAGAATCATTCAGCATTATTGGTCTTAGCTTTAAAATTTTTACTGACAATAGAATATTTAGAACTCCACTCCAGATTAAGTGTTTCAACATTCTCACTAGTTAACAATCAGATTGTGTTCTAAATTCTTATCCTAGTTGTGGAAGAAAATTGTTCATTGTGTTTTTACAAATTTGTTCTTGAGCGGTAAACAGAAACGGTACTCGACCAAAACACTTCAAAATCGGTAAAACAGTAAACTCTAAATGGCACAAAATTCTCTAAAAGGCACAACAACTGCTCACTGGAAACTGTCTAAAACTCCTGATAAAACGTCCA